TTTGCTATACGTGTGTTTCTCAAAGTAGGGATCGCCACAAATGGTTATGTTCCCTGTGGCTTCCCTTCAAAACAACCCAAACAAGGGTGCCCTCAACAACAAACACACATGTAACATATATAATATATATACATGCACATACATCACCAGTAGCCTTGATGAGAGCCTGCGTACGACAACTGACATCACACGTTGGAGAGTCACCACTCAATTCAACAAGCGATCATAGAGTGAGCAATCGGGGGTGCGGGGGGAAAGAGATCGGGCTGAGCTAGGCAACTCGGATTCGTCATTTTGAGGGCCCGAAGTGTGGACACAACACGAGCTGGATGATGTAAACTTCAATTAAAGGGAACATACACAAAGCATCGAGCGAGGTACGGCCGTATATTATATATATATGTATGCATATCAAGGCCTTAAAACCACTGACAGTTGGACGGTGAATGCCACATGTGTTTGCAGACGCCGCCCGCTCTCAGCGGTCGCCTTTGAGGGATTTTGTGATTTTACACTCATGGCAATTTTGGAACTGGTATCAAGCCTTTTAAAACCCCGTCGAATCAGGATTCTTTGGCTTCCTTATTGCTTCTTTGAAAGAATACTTGCACACCAAGACAGCCACCGATGCTTTGCTTGGTTTCCTCCTGATCCAAAAAGCAGTGTATGGGCTCCGGCCGAAGAGGCGAGCAACAGACCCGACCAATTTGTTTTGCCCACCTGTATGGTACCCAAGGGAGCCACCCTTCAAAATCCAAAGGGAATAACGAAGAGTTACCTACTGTAAGGGCGAAACGCAACTGGGATCCACTGGGAGCGCTTGCAGTTATCCCTAGGTAACCAGGCTGTTTTGGCTCTTGGTTTTCATGATTTGTTCTGGTTCCTACTGATGGACAATATCCGTTCGCACCAGGTTGAAAACCCTTGAACGATTCGATTCCCCAACGTAAATTTTCCAACTCCAGCGTTCTGGTTTCGACCATGACGGACAAACTCCTGCACTTTGCAAACCCTGGTTTCTGATTCGATTCTTTTGTAAATAAACCAATACCAACCTTTCTGGCTCCAACCATGGTTCCCTTAGGCCTCAGGCGGCCGCAGGGATTTCTCGCGACCATCAGTCGGGCGAAAACGTTTGAAGTGTCGAAGGCATCCGCTGCATCAAGTTCTTCGCCTGGGAACGGCCCTACCTGGACCGGGTCTTCAAGAAGCGCGCGGAGGAGCTGAGTCGAGTCGAGCCGAGCCGAGTGCCTGGCAGGGGGTTGGGGGCGGGTGGTTTTGGGGGAGGGGGGGAACCGATTTGGAGAAAACAAGAAGTTGAAAACCATGGGTGTGAATTTGTTTGAGTTGCTACCCGTTTGAGGTTTGAAGGGAAGGGAAGAGGTTAGGCTCACCAATTTTGTTTGTTTCCAGCACAAGTATAGGCCTTGATGTTCTCCCTCGAGTGAGGGAAACAGCGCCAGACCAACTGTGCAGCCTTGAACGAACATGTCCGGAGGTCTCTGAAGGCCAGGGCCTTGGGACGCGTCTTATGTCTGACCATACCGCTGGACGGACCTGGTCACATTCCCCGCAGCCTGAGAAAACCTATTCCCCCCCCTTCTGAAGCCTCCCCAGATCCGGATGCTCAATGCTTCACAGGAGCTGTTTTGGGCGCGGCGAGAGTCTACAGTGTACGGCGTCCTGGCTGACAAATTTCGGGGCGCTGACCTAGCAAAATCCAAGGGACCCCGCCTTGCCGCGACAGATTGCGTCGTCAAGGGGAGGGGGAGGAGTCAACAGCACAGCTGTTATGCTATATATTATACACGTACGTGTTTGTCAGTGTGTGTGTGTGTGGGTGTGTGTGTGTGTGTCCAGCTTGTCGTGCAAACATGGGTGTTCAGACTTGCACGGCATTCCTCATGTCAGTTTTCGGAAACCAGCTAGTCCGAAGCTTTTTTTTGGTCGCAAACTGTGGGATACGCATGGACCCTTGAGGCTTAGTTTGTAACAACTGCGCCCTATACTTTCCTACGAGGCCTGGCGAGTTGCTTATGCAGCATACAATTCTGATTTGGTTGCCACGGCATCGAACAGTCTCAGGTCGCGCTTTTTGTCCATCACTGCAGATGTTTTGCCAGAGAAAGAACCTCTCACCGCGACAGAAACGCGAATTGCGGCGAGATATGTGTAGATTATCTAGTACCTGGTCTGCTTGCTTCCCTTCGTTTGGATGGCCTTTCCTGCCTGAGCTGCAAGGTGCTTCAATGATCGTTACAGTGCTGGCACCGGTATATGCTTTCGCGGCAACTCTCATCGCCTTCATTCTTCAGGCAGGGCAATTGCGAAGATCAAGTGTTCAATTGCTACAAGTTCAGGACTCGCAAGGTGTGCCTTGTGAATTCCATCCCACGCTGATGAGGGTTGATTAGCGTCTTATTAGCGCCAAGTAACAGTTGTGGACGTTTCTGCACTTGGTGCTGTCCTGTAGAAGATGCTAAGAGCGAAGGCTCGAACCGTTGCAGAATGCTGGGCGATTGAGATGTAAGTCTGAATGCTTCAATGAGTCTGCATGGAGTCATGGAGGAAGAATGCTATTTTGAGGGGCTCGAACTCTCAGGGGCGAAGCTCTTCTTCGGGATCTGAGGATTTCCCCCACATTCGAAAGCCGCTTCAGGAATTCTATGGATCCTTGTTCCCCATGTGTTTTTTTCTTTTACTAAGGCAACAAGCCTAGTGACTGCAGGTCCCCCATGTTTTGTCATTTTTTGCAATTGAGGGAACGAGCCTTGTGACTCCACTCCCAGGTTTATCGTTACAAAGTGTCATTCAAACCTGCACTCTTTTCCAACTAGGGATCAGGTAACCCTTAGTTAGTGCTTTGTATTGGTGGTTCGGATTTGAACCCCTGGTTCCTCCGGATAAAATGGGGACAACCCCTCCATTTCACCCACCAAACCACCGACTCGCCTCGCGAAGCCAACCGCCAGGGAGATGCCGCAAGCCTCACGGCCACGCGGGTCTTTGGCACCTTGGCGCTGCTCAACGCGCTGCGCTTCGCCATCATGGACCTCGGCGCCTCGGCGCTTTTCGCTTGGAACGCCGTCGCAAGGCTTTCGCGCGGCGCGTGGCGATTTCGGGGCTGGCGCTTGGAACGCTGTCGCGTTCGCTTTCGCATGCCTTCGCTTTCGCGTGGCGCGCGTGTTTGGCGGTTTCTCGTGGGGCTCTTCAAAGAAGGATGACATGCATGGAATGGGTTTGCTTTCCTTTGGGCGTCCCTTCAAACTATTCCCGCAAAGGGTCCCCACCCCACTCGAGAAAAATAAGACACGCATGCGTGTGTGTTGGCTTAGGTGCTGACATGTGCTTGTTGTTTTTGATTCGTGTTTTCTCTTTCTGACCGCAGAAAACCCAAGTCGCCTTGATTGCCCATGCGACTGGTTGCTCTTACGGAATCAATCTGGGGTGTTCAAAGGTAATCCTTAATCCTTACCTGGGGTTACGCAAGGGATCCCCTTCGTAGTGGCTTTCCTATAGGGATTATGGATTAGGATTGGCCAACCCTCCATTTTGAACAGCCCAGTCAATTGGAGATGTTGGAACCACAGGGCTGTTCGAAATCAAGCCTTAATCCTTATACAATGCCATGTTAATGGTTTGTCCTTGTTGTGGTAGTATTACACTACGGAATACGGGTTAAGATCAGGGATAACCCCATTTTGAATCCTTGAAGGCCCATTTCGAATCCTTGAAGGGTTGTTCATTTGTTCATGCTAGTTTCCTGTTCGTCACCCAGTTGTTTGGTTCTTGGTCCTCTATCTTCATTTGAGCAAAGCAAGTGCATGCACAAATTCCAAGAAAGCGCTCGACCACACCACACAATGCGCAAACAAGCATTGACCGGACAAAAGCACACAGGCTGGTTTGTTTTTGTTTTTCGTGTCGTACATGGATGCCCTTTCGCATCGGGAGTCAGGGCTAGGCTTGGCATGCAGCGGTGCGTTGTCTTTGTGCAGCGGTACTCTCAGGGGTAGCCATCAGCGAAGCATGTTCAGAAGTGTTTGGTCATGTTGAACCGTTTGTTCAAATGAATTGGCACTTGTTCACCATGATGTTGCACCACGTTGAACCATTTGGTCCCCAGTTTCTTCAAAGTCGTGTCAACATTGGGGGCCTTTCGACCAACCTTGGGGATGCCAAATTTGTTCGACATGCTTCCTTTGACCTACCACTTGGGTGGTGACTTTAGTAGAACAACGGGGGTTAGTGTGAGCCCCGACGCCCTGAAATCCTTCTGCTGTCAGAGTTCGGGAGCGTGCTTCATTCTACACCCAAAATTTCAACAGAGCGCCCCTTCCATCTAAGGGCCCGATTTCCTGCCAGAGGTGGAGTCCGGCTCGTGGTACATTGGCACTTTTCAGCGCCACTTCAGGGCATAGAGAACCTTTTTTACCATGGTTCAATGGAAACCAACATGAAAAGTGGACGCAAGTCCCTATTTGTTATTTGATCTTCATTTAAAATGCTTCAAAGGGAAACCAACAGTCACCTTTTGAAGGGTCCAGTCCCCGGAAGCCAAACAATCATGTGATGTGTTTCAATTTGGTTCTCAGAATAAGGAGATTTCCCCACAAAGAGTGGGTTGTCCTTTTTCCTTTACTCCAGAGTACCAAAGCGCGAGACATCCAGACGGGAGAGGTCTGCATTATTCATAGCGAGCTCACCCGACCAAAACGCGCTCACCACAAAGATCATCCAATTCTGTTATTGTAAGATGAATCGTAAAGATTTGTGAGGTGATCCAGCCACACTACCATATTGGGCTACAATAATCAAACCCAAATCTACCTTATTATGGTCCAATTCTTTTGGACTGATGTCCATCAAAGGGTCCTTTATGGACCCATAAAAACTTTGAGAAGATTTGCATAGGGTATACTCCCATTGGAGATGCACATGTGTTTTTGTCCCCAACTGGTTTTAAAGGGAATCTATTTCTCAGTTGTTTGTCAGGCGCGATGCTGGCCACGATCGTGGCGCTGTACACCTCTTGGCATCGCCTCAAGGACTTCCTGAACCTTGACGAGGCGCTCCCCAGTGTCAGTGGGAATCATCACTTTTGGAGGGAAACACCCCCCTATTACCTATTCAGGGGTTTATTATTCCGGGGTCAGCATTCTTCGACTAGTACAACAAATTGTCTCAACGGGTGTGTCTTGCTGGCATACTGCTGCCGGATGGCACACCTGGTACGACATTCGGATGGTGCCACGACGGTGCTTTTCCAGTTTGCTGTTCACACATCACTGATGCGTGAATTCACCACAGGCACAACTCAGAGAATGTTGAAACGGCGGTGCTTTGACAATGTCTCAGGATCAGCTCCAGGATCAATCATGGGACATCACACTCTCGACATTAGCAGAGGCAACGCAAACAAAGTGCGCCGCTGGTGTTCTTCGCCAGACATACACGGCAGCTTGTATTCTTTGCAATCATGATATTGATCTTAGACAACTCCAACCTCACGGCACAGTGGTGCGTATTTCTTTCTCGATAAAATACAATGACATGTGCTCTGGGTCTTGTTTTACAAAGAAACACAGTTTATGTGTACATATATATATATATATATGTAGCAACCGTGTGGTTGTTTACAAGTTTGGTTGGTTGCTTTTGATTTTGTTAAAGCAGTAAACAAGAACCGGCAAGACACGCAGCAAGCTAGTCCGATCAGCTGATGGGACTCCGTTGTAACTTGGGAAATCCACTGCCGCTGCTTTCAGCAGGCTTGGAAAGGCCGGTTTTCGCGGGGTTCCGTTTACCCCAAGGCAGACTAAATCCCAGGGGTCTAGGTTGGACCCCCTCAAAATGTTCAATATCCTCGTATTTCCCTTTAATCCTCCCCCCCGAAAAAAAGAAATGAACCTTAAGCACAACACAGCTACCTGGTATGAATATCGATGGAGGAGGACCTTTTCATGCTTGACATCATTTACATGGTGTTTTTTGTTGGTTCGCCACCCCTAGATTTCCCCTGTCTCTTCTGGGCTCCCCATTTCATTCCGGGCGTGTTTTTACTGTAGCCCCCTCCCGCCAACATACGGACACGATCCGAATCTGAAGGCTTCTAGGAAACAAGATTCACATGGAGGGTTTGTGATGCCAGTTTTCCTTCAAGCATATATCTATATCCAAACAAGAGACAACGAATGTATTTCCAGGGGAGGTCAGGTCCGAATCAAGATGTGCATACCCATGGCAAAGGCTTACCGGCACCCACTTGCGTATGTTTTGTATATATTCTTGGGAAGCCCAAAAATGGTGACTCCTGTTGCTGTTGGTTCTCCTTAAAACTAAGTTGGAACACGGGGTGGCCTCCCATCAAACTCCCGACTCCGTCGGCCGGTTCCGGGGCTGCCGGAAGCGCGGACTCGGACTCGCGGACTCGCGGACGACTCAGGCGGGCGTGCCGGTGGCCGAGCTGGAGGATGGCTTGGAGCTGGAGCTGAGCAAGTCCACCTTCAGCTGCTTAGAGGAGGCTCAGTTGTTCAAAGCGAATCGACCTTTTAACCCTTTGGTTTTCCCGGTTTGGTCCACTCGTCTATATGGAAAACCCAGACCCGACCCATGGGGTCCCATGTGCATGGCCTTACAGTTGGAACCTTTGATTTTTGGGATTTCGGCCGGTCGACCCATAGGGTCCGACAATTTTGTTCTGGGGCACACAAACAGTGGGAACAAAGTTTGGGTCTCTTCAAACCCTTAACTTGCGGTGCACTAGAGAATAATGGAATGATTTTCACGAGCCATCCTGCGTGGCTTCCTTTAAGGGAATCCCCTTCCGTCCTGCCCGAAACTGTGAGTGATTCACTGAGAATTGGCAAGGCCCACATGTCCAGAGGGTCACTTTTTGTGTCTGTTTTGGTTGGGGGAGGGGTATTCTCGTATCTACCTGAAAACGAGGGTGCCCACATGATTGTCACGCTGATCCACTGGAGGTCTAGAGCGGACGGCTACCTTCTGCGTAGGGTCCCGGAATTCATGGCGTGCCCAACTTGTTGGCTTGGTTTGGTTTAGGCAAAGGTATGAAGTGTAATGGTTGGAAGGCCCTAAATGGTTGGTGCAAGGGCTTTCATATCAAATTGGAATTCATACCTCTGTGTGCACGTGTGTGTTTTAGTCTAAAGCTGTACCACGATTCAAGGGGTTCCATATGGGCGGCTCTTCTTTTTTGACAAGATTTGCACCCCACAAAGTTGTGTTCCGTTTTCCTTTTTGCTTTCCCTAAAACAATTCGACAACAAGGGGGTACCCTCGAAAAAGACACCCATATTTACCCAGTCCAGAAGTGTTAGAAACCCCCACAACCAAGATTCATCGGCCCACAGAGAAATGACGCGTTGCCACTCAAGTCACTTGCCATCATGCTTCTGCCTAATTGTTGCTTGTTGTCGGTTTTTTGTTTCCGGGCTTTTGTTTCTTCCAAATGCTGTTTGACAAGGCAGTTTCTGCTTTCTCGGTTGTTGCCTGGCTTGCTGCTGTTGTTCCTATCAAGGCCACTCAAATGTCTCGCTCTCGTGGGCTTGTAGGGAGACCAGGGCGCGCGAATCATTTTCGGGTTGGTTTTGCCTCCTGGAGAATCGCATGAAAGCTACCGCATGATACTTGACAAGGGAGTCAAAATAGCACTTCAAAATAGCATCTTAGTTACACGGCAACAGGGCTCCAGGTGCACACATCAGGCCAAAGTCTAAGGACCACATTGTGGGAAATCACATACCCGGATCGTTCCGACCCCCTGAAAAGCAGTGCTTTGTCGGGACTCCTTCCATGCAGGATCGATGCACACTTTTGCCAAAGCCAGCGGCCCCGTTTCGGCGGTTTGTGTCATGCACCTTTCCCACAGGTCAGCATGGGCCAAGCCCTTGCTTGAGCCAATGTCAACATCTCTAATCACAAGCCTCTTTTAACCTATGTCCCCCAGTAGTGCCCTTTTGCCCCCTTTTTTTGGGGGGGAGGGTTCCCATCTAAAATAGACGACAAAAAAAAAAAAGAAGGACAAAAAAAGGTGAAACAAAAAGGAAAAACGTACCCTTATTCCAACCTCTCTACTGGAGGACCCAGTCTCTAATCACAAGCCTCTTTTAACTCATCTCCTATTTCGGGGTTCCAGGGCAACGCTCAAACCAACTTTGCTTGACCCGCACCACTCACGGAGAAGCCCACCCGCCCGGAACCCGCAGGCGAAGGAGTGCTTCCGCTTGCAGATGGGACCTTTGCAGGCGCCAAGTTGTCCGTACCCAGCGGGTCAAACAGAATGCGCGATTTTCGGACGCCCACCATGGGATTTTGGTGGTTTTTCTTTTGGCCGGAAAGATGATCAACCTGAAGACAAGGAAAAACATGCTGGAGTGTAGGCAGCATCACCTGACGAGACATGAACGCTCCGTTTTGGTCAAGGGTCAGCTACCGAATTGGCATCGCGTGCCCTTCCAGCTCTGGTCACCAGAAGCCGGTTGCCCTTGTGCATGCTCGACGGCTTTTGTTTGCAGTTTGATCAGCAGAGATCTAAAAGCAACCGCTTTGCTGCCACCAGAGTGCCTAAGATAGACTGAGCCCGATTGAACACCGGTGAGCTATTTCTCCCGTTGGGTCATGTTTCAAACAAGAGCAATCACACGCTAGATAAGCATGGCGAGATGGTTTGCCGATGTTTCAGAATTGGTGCAAGCATGCATGAGATATGGCTGTGGGTCAAAACCCAATGATACCATTTTGGGGTAGGTGCACCACCCATTTTAGTCTATCGTTGAGGGGATTGGGATGTTCACTGGGGGTACGGGATTTTGACCCATGCCCATATGTCTTTGTGTACATGTTTTCAGATGTATGTACTTAAATATAAGTATACATAGCTAGGCCCTACAAGGAGGACCGAGATTTACCATTCTTTGCGGTGCTCCCTTCTTGGCTGTGACTGTGTCAACCCAGAAGGAAGAGAGAACCTTCAGATTGCGGGCCAGGTCTTGGGTGACTAGTATGTATACCTGGAGCCTCCACGACCCTTCAAACATGGGGACTGACAAAGCAAATGCCTCTCACGCTTGACTAGATTTACATTCATTCTGCTGCAGGCCATAAGAATGCTGCACGGTCCACCACAAGGAAGAGAGGTGCATACGGTTTGATAAACCCAAAATGGCGGATTTCCTTGTGGATTCCCTTTAGACGTTAAAGCAAAGGAAAAATGGTGGCCTCAGAAAGAAGAGACACCCATACCCCTTGTGCAGAAATCCAGTCCCAGACCAGGTCCGCCGTGGTGAGCTCGTGCTGGTACTGGGCAAGGCGCGGGGCAACGTGTTTTGTTGCACCCTCGAGGGTGTCCGAAGAGATGCGGCTGCCTTTGTTTCACATGTTCATTTTTGAGCATTTTAAGATCAATTTTTGCCTGGCAAATGAAATCTTGATGTTTGTGTTGTTTGTTCACAATTCGCTTGATCTCTTTCCTTTTTTGGAGCATTTATCATCGCCAGACTGCACTTGTCGGGCAGAACCTTTCTCGCCTTTCCGTTGCTTCTTCGTGGTCCATTTCGTCCAGCAGACATGGAGATAGTTTATACCCAGCACCCTGCAGAGCAGGGACGCTTCCGAAGTGATGGGGTCAGTCCTGCTTAGGTCTCTTTGCAAATGTGTAAGGGCACACGAGCACGCCTGTGTCGCTGGGCAAACTGTGGTCTTGGCAAGCACAGGACTTCGGAGGTGCGCGGCTAATCTTGGTGATACATATGTGAGTTGTGAGTGGTACCTTGGGCAAAAAGGAAGGCAACAGCGACATCCACATACTTCTCTTGCGTTCGGTTTCTGCTGCAATGGCTTATGTGCTGATAAGTTGTCCATTCGTAGAGAGAGATTGTGACTTGTGGGTTTGCGCACAATTGAAAGAGCAGCTTCTGCAGATCCGAGTCGAATCATTCTACGCGCCCCCTTTGTGGGCTTGTCATCGTATCACAACCAGCGCTTGCTAATGTCCATTGCAGCTTGGTTGATGCCGCCTTTTGGGGTTGTGTTTTTTGAGAGTATACTCTAGTTTTGGGTTTGGTTTACCGGGAAACCAACAGGAAAGCCCCCATTGTTCGCGTCCCCCTATTTTGACACATACCAATTTAGTCATTTCAGTGCCAGTCTTTTCAACGAGCTGCCTGTCGCAGGTTGGCTCGGGCAAAACCACGCTGCTGCAGGGCATCTTGGGGGAGATGGTCTGCACGGGCAGCGTTGCTGTGCGGGGCAAGATCCTTGGGCTGGTTGAGTTGCCAGAGATGGCCCGTGGCTGTTTGTTTTTACCCTTGGGTGCACTCCACTGATACTCTCAAAAACAGGCACCCAAATGGCGGACGTCTTTGTCCCTTTCGGAAAGCGCAACCTCCAGAATCAGTCAGTGTGAAGTCAGTGCGGCAAGCTGTGGGCCAACAATTGGGGCTTTGGGTTGGTGGTTTGGATTGAGCCCCTTGTTCTGGGGGGTACCTAGGGCCCAGTTTCACCATCCAACCTTTGAGCTAGACACAAAAACGAGCTAACACAGCCAACTGATCCAAAGGACCGACCAACCATCCTACCAAACAAACAAGTAGACAAAGAAAGAAAGTTTCACCACCAGATCTTGGGTACATGGGCAATCCATTCTTGCAATGTTAGCCCCGGATTAGTAAACCTCTGGTTGATTTGGATTGGGGGGTGTCCCCTTTTGGTGGGGATTCAGACCACTATTGGAGGGGCCCCTGGGTCAAAATTAGGGATGAGCTTGCCTGTACCTCCAGGTCAGCTTCTCTTTTCTCAGAGTCACGTCTCTCCGGTCCTTGCCCTTGGCAAACTCCAGAGCCGCAGAGAGACGGGAGTTGCGAAACCGCCCAACCTTCGGGCTTGAGGGAAGCTGCCGGGTTTTCGTCGGAAGGATCGCCTACTGCGCACAGCAGCCCTGGATCCGCAACGAGTCTCTGCGGGACAACGTGCTCTTCGGGGAAGAGATGGACATGGAGCCACGGGTGGAATCGAGGGCGTATATATACATATATATATATAGATATATAGTTTGATATATTATATTTAATATTACATACATATATTATATTATATTTAATATTATATATTTATATATATATATATGGTTCCGGTCGGCGAGCGGCCGAACGACTCTCGAAGCCTTGGCCCTAACTCAAACCCACCAGCAGGCCCAGGGGGTGGTTCAAGGCCACCATGACCATGGCGGGGGGGGTGGGGTGGGGTGCCAGACCTCTACCATATATATATATATAGGTTATATATATATATATGGGTGTGTGCTTGTGTGTGTATGTTTTTGTGTATGTTTTTGTTTTTCGGAGTTGGTACTCAGGCTGGTGGAAATGAAAGGACGCCAGAAGGAAAGTCAGCTTTTCTGGAGTCCTTGCGACGCATATCGCCGGGAGGTCCCTTCTTGTTGGCAAAAACCAGCCCCTAGTGTTTCCTGACTTTTTGGGAGATTGGGGTTGGTCTGCGCTGGAATACCTGTTGATTTTTTCACAAGGCGCAGGCTATCCCTTTGAGTGTGCCACCGTGTTCTTCCAAACAGGCTGGCATGGCAGGTAATGAGAAATGGAATGAGCCTGCTAAACCATCCAACTGGTTCATTCTCACATTCCCTACTTATCACAAACTAGGTTTATTCAACCACATTCCCCACCTCTCGCACAAGCGTTTGATGGTTCATTCGCTTTGTCATTCGGGCGGCTCATCTCATGTTTTCTGGGCGGAAGCCCAGCTTGCCGAGTGAGGAGGGCTGCGTGCGGAGCGACGGCTGGACGGTTCATGACAAGAAAGCTGTTGTGTGGAATACTTGTATGTTGCGTTTTTTTTTTTGTAAATTATGCTGTTTGTTTGTTTGCTTGCTTGCTTGCTTGTTTGTTTGCAGATGCTACTATCACGGTTTCAAGACAGGTCCACAAGAGAGGATCGGATGAAGCTTGCCAGCTCTCCTGCAAGCCTTCCACCATTTCTTGCTTCCCCAGCCTGCACGAACACCTGTACCCAGATGGGTGTGGCTCAACAAAAACATCAGAGCTAGGGTTACGCCGGTTTTAGTCTTTGGTTCCATTTACCAAGGCAACCGATTGTGGTACCACTCTTTTGAGCCACAGCCAGATGGCCGAGCTTCCCATGCCAACTGTCGGAAGGAGTGGTACCTGCAAGTGCTGGACGCTTGTGGACTGGGCCCCGATCTCAAGCAGCTTCCCGCCCAGGACGTGCCAGCAACAAGCAGCTAGGGAGACCCGGGTTTGTGAAGGGCCTGGTTTAAGATTCCCCACCGGGAGAACCAAATATGATCACACCGCAAGCAAAAAAAAACAAAAACAAAAGCTCATGGTGATATACCCAACAGCATGCGGTGCTCTTTTTAGTTCTCACACCACCCCGCAGTCCCTCGCAGAACCTCGTGGAACCCTGGTGGAACCCTCGTGGAACCTTACCTTAGGGCCGCCCCGGACCACCCCAGAGCCTATGTGGGCTGAGACCCCAAAGCCTTCAGCTGTTGGGAAAAAAAAACAAATTATCACACCACCAGCAGGGCATGAAGACGAGGTGACTTTTGGTAAGCTCAGCCTCGCATTTTTCCTTCGCCCAATCATCGCAGTTGGACTCGGAATCTCGTCGTTGACGACAGGACTTTACCGAGATAGGGGAGAGGGGCGTCACCTTGAGCGGAGGACTGGGAATCTGGGTGGGCACCGACGGCCCGCGAGCCCCCGGAAGCCAACCACCCATGGACGTGGGAAAAGCAAATGTCTTTGCATTCAGGGTGGGTCCCCGACTAGAATTGTTGGGAATGCTGCGGGTTTGACCCCTATAACCTGTACTATGCGGTTCGTTTCCCAGAAGCTGGGCTCACTGCACGTTTCCCTCGCGTTCAATGGCAATTACTGCCCTTTTATAGGAACTCAGAGCGAATTCAGCTCGTTGTGGCCATCCGGGCACTAGCTTTTGACGCGGGTGTTGGTTGAACTGAGTTGGGGGCCAAAACCAGGCGGCTATGTCCATTCCCCCCGGCAGCTGCCGTGCCCACTGGTCTACGTAACAGACCTTACGGTTTAGTAATAATGAGCCTTATCATACAACGCAAAGCAACGACCAGGCGACGGATCTGGAGAATTCTGCCAAAGGCAGATCGCATTTGGTGACTCCAATTCATTGGAGTTCAATGTATTGTGCATGTGTCCGCACAACAAGGGACACCCAATGCTGCTTTCTGGTTGGCTCCCCTCTAAGCAGCATGCAAACGGGCATCACCCATGTTTGGACACCTCCCCGCACATTTGGCTGTAAGCCTTCTGGGCACCCCATGGGGACTTTGAGAATGTTGCGCTTTCCGGAGGATGTATTCATTTTCGCAAAGTTGGAATGCTACAATTTAGTTAGTTGATTTGCAGGGTGAAACATTATTCAACGGTGAAGCTTTCGACCCAGGCTCTCAGGCTCTCACTGGATGGTTTCAGACAGGTTTGCTTGCCTCACCCACCAAGGGGAAGCCCTTCAAAGCCACTTTGGCTTTCAGTGCGGAACCCTGCCACATGTGTTTTTTTGTTTTTTGTCAAGCCATCTACTCCGTCGCTTTGCAAGCCCCGAACCGAATGCCAATCTGCTGAGCTCATCGCGGCTGTTTCGCTCCCTGCTTGTCCAATCCAGCATGTGTGTGTGTGTGTGCGTTTTTGTTGGTGGTTTGGAGCTTAGGAGGTATCTTCCCATTTGATCTTAAGAGCAGCTGGATGTTTTTTTTGTTTTTTGTCCATCAACTTACTTAGGTTTCCCACCATTGGAGTCAGAGGAACACGGTCCATGGTCTTCATACTGTGGACGGACGAAATCCTGCTCCACCTATACTTACAGGGAATCAGACCATTCCAGGGCTTCTTGTGTGGTGCAGGATTTTGTCCATCCACAGCACCTTTCCCACGTTTTATCGCCCAAGCGAGTTGGCGAGGCCAGAAGCAGCGCGTGGCACTGGCCCGCGCGGTGTACCAGCGATGCCCCCTGATGCTCTTGGACGACGTCTTCTCGGCACTGGACGCCCAGACTTCGCGCCATATCCTGCGACTCGAAGGGCAATTCGCTGTGTTCGTCGCTCTTTGTGTGTGACCGACAAAAAAACAAAGAGAAGCAAGATAAACAAAAAAAAAAGCAGAGACATAGATGGGGGGGTTCTCAAAAGAAAGTTAACCGCTTTTTGGCGGAGTTGAGAATTGAAACCAAAAGAACAGCAAGTGAGGGGTCTTCAATTTTCCAGATGGCTTTCGCCAAAACCCTGTGGCTTTCCACGAAGGAAATATGGCTTTTCTTCATTAACCTACAAGGGATGTCCGAGCACAGTGGAATCCCAAAACCCGCTGGCCCCGGAAGTTCCAAATGGCTCGCCCTTCTTCCATTCGTGTTCCCTTTTGGCCTCCCTTTAAAAATCCACACCCAACAATGAGGGTGGTAATACCGCTAAAAAGAAGAACGCCCTTATTCCTCTCGCCTGATGGCAGTGGTTTCACGTGCTTTCCTTGTAATTAGGGATGTCTCACTCAGATTGGGATTCTGCCCAGGGTTCAGGACGATCATTCGACAACGGCCGGGGCAGATGGCAGTACGATTCATTTGGGAAATGAGAAGCAGCTTTTGACTGGATCGGGTCAAACGGTTTTCCTTCAATGATGCGTCCAATGATATTGTTTCAACCTTGTCCGACGTTCTTCAGACAAGCCCGAGGTTGGAGGGAGGAGGAAAAACCGCCCATTGGCAGTTTTAAAAGTGAGGGCTTTTCCCAGTCCCTTGTGTATGAGTGTGTTGGCCAGGCATTCTTCTGGCAAAGTCCAGAATCTCCAGGGACGAGGTCCGAATTCTGAAAACAAATGACACATCATTTGGGTGTGTCTCAAAAAGGAACCCGAAAAAGGGTTTTCGGTTTTCCGTTTGGCTTTCCCTTGAAAAGCACACACCTGCCAAAGGAGTTTTGCAAAGACGATTCACTCATTTTTCCAGAAGTTGGGGCCGCCAATACCCCAAAACTCAAGGACTTCCTGGAGTTGTCTTTGGGGGACCGATACAGATTTTGAGACACACCCGCATACTGGGGATTGATGAACCTGTCCTATTCAAAGGTGGGGGGCTCTCCAAAAGCGGTCTGACCCCCCACTAAATGGGGACAACCCCAGATGACGATTAACCACGGGTTCTACTTAGATCCGGGTTCCAATTAGCAATCCTGGAATGTCGGTGTCCCTTTGGTTTCCCTGTATAGTGACGGACATACACTTAGAAACAGTTTTGGTTTCCAAAATTTCCGACAAACACTTAGAAACGAAAAAAATAAAAACAGTAAATTCAACACTTAGAAACGGTTCGGCCGACCAACACTTAGAAACCTTTTCTTCGCCTTTATGGCGATTCTGATGCATATTACCAGCCGTCAAAAACTTAGAAACGTTTCTAAGTGTTGCCCGAGAGGTACCTGCGGCTTCTAAGCATTGGTCACGGGCGTTGCCCCGAGAGAGAAAAGAGCCGACCATGCAAGAAAAAAACAGCGGAACTAACTATATATATATACACAATGAATCAGGCACACAGCACACATGATAGACTTAAGAGATCTTCGGGCAGCCAGACAAAAGACAACCTACAAATCACGAAAAAACAACGAGTTTACCAAAAAAAGGATAAACAAATGACGAGATGATGAAACAATGATGAACCAATATGAGCACAGTATGCAAATGATGAAACAATGAACAATGATAAACAAATTATGATTTGCTGGCATTTTTTGTTTTCAGAACTTCCCATGAACATCATCTGTTTTTCATCATGTGTTCATCCCTCCCTTGTTTCAACAGAAAACAACAGGAAAAAACTGCGCGACACCGTGGACAATAATGAAACAAATCATAAGGTTAATGAAACGGTTTCGTGGGGTTGCCGGAAGCTTGAAATCAGCTGGGGGCGAACAAATAGAAACGGTTTTTTCAACCCGCTTCTTTTTTGAGAATCTACCAATTGGACTTGTTTGTGGGTATACATGCCCAATACTCCATACATGGGGGGATCGCTGCTTTCTTGGGGTTGCCGGAAGCTTGAAATCAGCTGGGGGTGAACACTTAGAAACGCCTCCCCCAACCCCCCCCCCCCCTCAGAGTCTACCAATTGGACTTGTTTGTGGGTATACATGACCAATACTCCATACATGTCAGCACTGTGTGAGCAAGGCATGATCTACTTACACAAACACACACATATTTATATATATATATAGACCTTCATCCTGGAAGCATTGGTGCTTTCTTGGGGTTGCCGGAGGCTTGAAATCAGCTGGGGGTGAACACTTAGAAACGCCTCCCCCAACCCCCCCCCCCCTCAGAGTCTACCAATTGGACTTGTTTGTGGGTATACATGACCAATACTCCATACATGTCAGCACTGTGTGAGCAAGGCATGATCTACTTACACAAACACACACATATTCAATATATATATATATAGACCTTCATCCTGGGAGCATCGGTGCTTTCTTGGGGTTGCCGGAGGCTTGAAATCAGCTGGGGGTGAACACTTAGAAACGCCTCCCTGAACCCCCGTGACCAGTTCTCCGTACATGTCCCACTGTGTGAGCAAGGCATGATCTACTTAACACAACACACACACACACATATATTTATACATGTACAGACCTTCGTCAATGGGGGGATCGCTGCTTTCTTGGGGTTGCCGGAAGCTTGAAATCAGCTGGGGGTGAACACTTAGAAACGCCTCCCCCAACCCCCCCCCCCCCCAGAGTCTACCAATTGGACTTGTTTGTGGGTATACATGACCAATCTCCATACATGTCAGCACTGTGTGAGCAAGGCATGATCTACTTACACAAACACACACATATTATATATATATATATAGACCTTCATCCTGGGAGCATCGGTGCTTTCTTGGGGTTGCCGGAGGCTTGAAATCAGCTGGGGGTGAACACTTAGAAACGCCTCCCCGAACCCCCGTGACCAGTACTCCATACATGTCAGCACTGTGTGAGCAAGGCATGATCTACTTACACAAACACACACATATTCATATATATATATATATAGACCTTCATCCTGGGAGCATCGGTGCTCTCTTGGGGTTGCCAGAAGCTTGAAATCAGCTGGGGGTGAACACTTAGAAACGCCTCCCCCAACCCCTCCCCAGAGTCTGCCAATTGGACTTGTTTGTGTGTATACATGACCAATCCTCCAGACATGTCAGCACTGTGTGAGCAAGGCATGATCTACTTACACACACATATTTTTATATATATATAGATATATTTTTCTCGGGGCATCGGTGCTTTCTTGGGGTTGCCGGAGGCTTGAAATCAGCTGGGGTGAACACACAAACGCCCCCCGAACCCCGTAGACCAGTACTCCATACATGTCACACGTGTGAGCAAGCATGATCTACTTACACAAACACACACACACATATATTTATAACAATACAGACCATGTCGCAATCGCTGCTTTCTTGGGGTTGCCGGAAGCTTAAATCAGCTGGGTGACCTTAAAACGCCTCCCCCAACCACCCCCCCCCAGAGTCTACCAATTTGACTTGTTTGTGGGTATACATTACCAATACTCCATACAGTCAGCACTGTGTGAGCAAGGCATGATCTACTACACAACATACACATATATAAATATATATATATAGACTTATATATAGCAGCCTTTTCTTGGGGTGCCCAGGCTTGAAATCAGCTGGGGTGAAAACTTAGAAAAACGCCTCCCTGAACCCCCGTGACCAGTTCTCCATACATGTCCAGCACTGTGTGAGCAAGGCATGATCTACTTACACAAACACACACACACACATATATTAAATATACATGTACAGACCTTCGTGATGGGGGGATCGCTGTTTTCTTGGGGTTGCCGGAAGCTTGAAATCAGCTGGGGGTGAACACTTAGAAACGCATCCCCCAACCCCCCCCCCCCCAGAGTCTACCAATTGGACTTGTTTGTGGGTATACATGACCAATACTCCATACATGTCAGCACTGTGTGAGCAAGGCATGATCTACTTACACAAACACACACATATTTATATATATATATATATAGACCTTCATCCTGGGAGCATCGGTGCTTTCTTGGGGTTGCCGGAGGCTTGAAATCAGCTGGGGGTGAACACAGAAACGCCTCCCCGAACCCCCGTGACCAGTACTCCATACATGTCAGCACTGTGTGAGCAAGGCATGATCTACTTACACAAACACACACACACATATATATATACATGTACAGACCTTCGTCATGGGGGGATCGCTGCTTTCTTGGGGTTGCCGGAAGCTTGAAATCAGCTGGGGGTGAACACTTAGAAACGCCTCCCCCAACCCCTCCCCAGAGTCTACCAATTGGACTTGTTTGTGTGTGTACATGACCAATCCTCCAGACATGTCAGCACTGTGTGAGCAAGGCATGATCTACTTACACACACATATTTATATATATATATAGATATATTTTTCTCGGGGCATCGGTGCTTTCTTGGGGTTGCCGGAGGCTTGAAATCAGCTGGGCGTGAACCACACCCCGTCCCCAGATTCTACCAATGGGGCTTGTCTGTGCATGCGCATGACCAATACTACATATATGTCAGTGCGTGTGTGAGCAAGGCATGATGTATTTACATACACGCATACGTACGGAAGCCTGAAATCAGCCGGGCGGTGAATACTTAGAAACACCCCCCCCCCCGCCCGGATTCAACCACTTGGGCTTGTACGTGTGTATATATTACATGACCAATACTCCATGTAGGTCAGCACCTATGTGAGCAAGGCATGATCTACTTACATACACATATGTATATAATTATATATATATATATATCTTCGTAGTCGGGGCATCGGTGTTTTCTTTAGGGTTGCCGGAAGCTTGGAAGATTGAAATTAGTTGGGCGGTGAACACTTAGAAACGCCTCCCCCAACAGAGTCTACCAATTGGACTTGTTTGTGTGTATACATGACCAATACTCCATTCATGTCAGCACTGTGTCAGCAAGGCATGATCTACTTACACACACACACACATATATATATATATACACATCCTGGGGGTATCGGTGCTTTCTTGGGGTTGCCGGAAGCTTGAAATCAGCTGGGGGTGAACACTTAGAAACGCCTCCCCCAACACCCCCACCCCAGAGTCTACCAATATACATGATCAATCCTCCCCACATGTCAGCACTTCCTTGGGGTTGCCGGAAGCTTGACATCAGCTGGGAGGAAACGCCTCCCCCAACCCCCCCCCCCAGAGTATAGCAATTGGACTTGTTTGTGTATACATGACCAATACTCCACACATGTCAGCACGTGTGTGAGCAAGGCATGATCTACTTACACAAACACACACACACACACATATATTTATACATGTACAGACCTTCGTCATGGGGGGATCGCTGCTTTCTTGGGGTTGCCGGAAGCTTGAAATCAGCTGGGGGTGAACACTTAGAAACGCCTCCCCCAACCCCCCCCCCCCCCAGAGTCTACCAATTGGACTTGTTTGTGGGTATACATGACCAATACTCCATACATGTCAGCACTGCGTGAGCAAGGCATGATCTACTTACACAAACACACACATATTTATATATATATATATACACCTTCATCCTGGGAGCATCAGTGCTTTCTTGGGGTTGCCGGAGGCTTGAAATCAGCTGGGGGTGAACACAGAAACGCCTCCCCGAACCCCCGTGACCAGTACTCCATACATGTCAGCACTGTGTGAGCAAGGCATGATCTACTTACACAAACACACACACATATTTATACATGTAACAGACCTTCGACATGGGGGATCGCTGCTTTCTTGGGGTTGCCGGAAGCTTGAAATCAGCTGGGGGTGAACACTTAGAAACGCCTCCCCCAACCCCTCCCCAGAGTCTGCCAATTGGACTTGTTTGTGTGTATACATGACCAATCCTCCAGACATGTCAGCACTGTGTGAGCAAGGCATGATCTACTTACACACACATATTTTTACATATATATATATAGATATATTTTTCTCGGGGCATCGGTGCTTTCTTGGGGTTGCCGGAGGCTTGAAATCAGCTGGGCGTGAACCACACCCCCCGCCCCAGATTCTACCAATGGGGCTTGTTTGTGCATGCGCATGACCAATACTACATATATGTCAGTGCGTGTGTGAGCAAGGCATGATGTATTTACATACACGTACGTACGGAAGCCTGAAATCAGCCGGGCGGTGAATACTTAGAAACACCCCCCCCCCCGCCCGGATTCAACCACTTGGGCTTGTACGCCCCCCAGACTACCAATTGGACTTGTTTGTGTGTATACATGACCAATACTCCACACATGTCAGCAGGTGTGTGAGCAAGGCATGATCTACTTACACAAACGCACACACGCACACGTTTATACATATGTGTATATATGGGCCTTCATCCTGGGAGCATCGGTGCTTTCTTGAGGTTGCCGGAAGCTTGAAATCAGCTGGGGGTGAACACTTAGAAACGCCTCCCCCAACCCCCCGCCACCCCCCCCCCCAAGAGTCTACCAATTGGACTTGTTTGTGTGTATACATGAACAATACTTCATACATGTCAGCACGTGTGTGAGCAAGGCATGATCTACTTACAAAAACACACAAACACACACATAGTTATATATATATATATATAGACGTTCGTCATGGGGGCATCGCTGCTTTCTTGGGGTTGCCGGAAGCTTGAAATCAGCTGAGGGTGAACACTTAGAAACGCCTCCCCCAACCCCCCCCCCCCAGAGTCTACCAATTGGACTTGTTTGTGTGTACACATGACCAGTGCTCCATACATGTCAGCACTGTGTGAGCAAGGCATGATCTACTTACACAAACGCACACATATTTATTTGTATATATATATATATATATTCGTCATGGGGGCATCGGTGCTTTCTTGGGGTTGCCGGAAGCTTGAAATCAGCTGGGGGTGAACACTTAGAAACGCCTCCCCCCCCTTTCAGAGTCTACCAACTGGACTTGTTTGTGTGTTTTCATGACCAATCCTCCATACATGTCAGCACGTGTGTGAGCAAGGCATGATCTACTTACACAAACACACACACACATATCTATATATAAATGTATATATATATATATATAGACCTTCGTCATGGGGGGATCGCTGTTTTCTTGCGGTTGCCGGAAGCTTGAAATCAGCTGGGGGTGAACACTTAGAAACGCCCCCCACCCTCCCCCCCCGCCCCAGATTCTACCAATGGGGCTTGTCTGTGTATGTGCATGACCAAAAATTCCTATATGTCAGTGCGTTTGCGAGCAAGGCATGATTTACTTACATACAACACATACTTACATATATGTATATATATATATGTGTGTATATATATATATGTGTATAGATAGACCTTCCTCCTCGGGGCATCGGTGCTTTCTTGGGGTTGCCGGAAGCTTGAAATCAGCTGGGGGTGAACACTTAGAAACGCCTCCCCCAACCCCCCCCCCCCAAGAGTCGACCAATTGGACTTGTTTGTGTGTATACATGACCAATCCTCCATACATGTCAGCACGTGTGTGAGCAAGGTGGGGCCATCAAACAAGGCGTGAAACACATGAACGATCATAAACAGCTGTCGGGCTAGTGCTGCAAACCGTTTCTAAGTGTTGAAAACAGTTTCTAAGTGTTGAAAACCATTTCTAAGTGTTGAATTGGGTTGTAGCAGTCCGGATCAACACTTAGAAACGAAAGGTACCTGCTGGGGACAGCACTTAGAAACGAAAAAAGTACCTGGCGCCAAAAGAAAATTTCCAAAACCGTTTCTAAGTGTATGTCCGTCACTATAAAGCCAACCAAGAACGGGTACTACCCTCCACAAACCTATCGACACAGCCATTTTAAGACACACCCTCGCACACGTTTTGACTACACCAAGGTAGACTCAAACCCAGCGGTTTATGCCCCCCAAAGGAAAAACCTTGAGTTTAACTCTACCTTGGGGTTGTCAAACAAAATAAAATGGACCCTGTGCAGCCACATATGTTCCAAAAGGTCACCTATGCCGTGGACTGCCAAGATATTGTCCAGGTTGCCAGACACGTTTTAAGGCGCACCTACTTTAAGACGCACCCACAAACTCCCCCTCCGGCACACAAGTCAAAGAAGCGCAAAAAACAGACCAACACAAGCAAAATGAGCTTCAAAACGAAGACAACAAACACAACCAAAGACGAGCCATCCCCTCGTGCTCGGCCTCGTTAATCTTTCTGAGGCAAGCGCTGCTGGGTGAGACGGGCCTGCTGAAGCACCAGGCAATAATCTTGGCCTCCCACTCCACCGCTCTGGCGGAGGTGGCAAACCAGGTACTCCTCTTGGGCGACTTGGATCAGACTCCAGTAATATTATATATCTTTATATATTGTATACACACTCTCTTTTTTTGGGGGGGACAAATATATCTAGATATATATGTACATATACATACATATATATATATACATATTTTCTGGGGGACGAATATATATATATATGTATATATATAAAGCATATGTATATATTTAGTGTTCCCCCTCAGAAAATATAAACGATCTACCTTCGTTCATTGTTCTTGATATGTATGTATGTATGTATGTAATGTAATGTAATGTAATGTAATGTAATGTAGCGTAATGTAATGTAATCTAATGTAATGTATGTATGTATGTATGTATGTAATGTATGTATGTATGTATGTATGTATGTATGTATGTATGTATGTATGTATGTATGTATGTATGTATGTAATGTATGTAATGTATGTATGTATGTAATGTAATGTAATGTAATGTAATGAAATGTAATGTAATGTAATGTAATGTAATGTAATGTAATGTAATGTAATGATGTATGTATGTATGTATGTATGTATGTATGTATGTATGTATGTATGTATGTATGTATGTATGTATGTATGTATGTATGTATGTATGTATGTATGTATGTATGTATGTATGTATGTATGTAATGTATGTATGTATGTATGTATGTAATGTAATGTAATGTAATGTAATGTAATGTAATGTAATGAATGTATGTATGTATGTATGTATGTATGTATGTATGTATGTATGTATGTAATGTATGTATGTATGTATGTATGTATGTATGTATGTATGTAATGTATGTAATGTATGTAATGTATGTATGTATGTAATGTAAATGTAAATGTAAATGTAATGTAATGTAATGTAATGTAATGTAATGTAATGTAATGTAATGTAATGTAATGTAATGTAATGTAATGTAAATGTAATGTAATGTAATGTAATGTATGTATGTATGTATGTATGTAATGTATGTATGTATGTAGTCAGAAATGTAAAAGTAATGTAAGTATGATATAGGTATGTAATGGATCGCGATGACGCGAGAGTATGTAAAGAGCTGTATGTAATGAATAGAGCGATTATGTAAGTGCAGAGTAATGTATGTATGAATTCAAGAATGTATGCAATGCCAATTAAGTTATGTAAGCAAGTATGTAAATGCATGAATGTATTGTAAATGTATGTATGTATGTAATGTATGTATGTATGTATGTATGTATGTATGTATGTATGTATGTAATGTATGTATGTATGTATGTATGTATGTATGTATGTATGTATGTATGTATGTATGTATGTCTGTAATGTATGTATGTATGTATGTATGTATGTATGTATGTATGTATGTATGTATGTATGTATGTATGTATGTAATGTATGTATGTATGTATGTATGTATGTATGTATGTATGTATGTATGTATGTATGTATGTATGTATGTATGTATGTATGTATGTATGTATGTATGTATGTATGTATGTATGTATGTATGTAAATGTATGTATGTAAATGTATGTATGTATGTATGTATGTATGTATGTATGTATGTATGTATGTATGTATGTATGTATGTATGTATGTATGTATGTATGTATGTATGTATGTAAGTAAGTATGTATGTATGTATGTATGTATGTATGTATGTATGTATGTATGTATGTATGTATGTATGTTATGTAATGTATGTATGTATGTATGTATGTATGTATGTATGTAATGTATGTATGTATGTATGTATGTATGTATGTATGTATGTATGTATGTATGTGTGTATGTAATGTATGTATGTATGTATGTATGTATGTATGTATGTAATGTTATGCAAAGTAAAATGTAATGTAATGTAAAGTAATGTACTGAAAGTAATGTATGTATGTCTGTAATGTATGTATGTATGTATGTATGTATGTATGTATGTATGTATGTATGTATGTATGTATGTATGTATGTAATGTATGTATGTATGTATGTATGTATGTATGTATGTATGTATGTATGTATGTATGTATGTATGTATGTATGTATGTATGTATGTATGTATGTATGTATGTATGTATGTATGTATGTATGTAAATGTATGTATGTAAATGTATGTATGTATGTATGTATGTATGTATGTATGTATGTATGTATGTATGTATGTATGTATGTATGTATGTATGTATGTATGTATGTATGTATGTAAGTAAGTATGTATGTATGTATGTATGTATGTATGTATGTATGTATGTATGTATGTATGTATGTATGTTATGTAATGTATGTATGTATGTATGTATGTATGTATGTATGTAATGTATGTATGTATGTATGTATGTATGTATGTATGTATGTATGTATGTATGTGTGTATGTAATGTATGTATGTATGTATGTATGTATGTATGTATGTAATGTTGTATGTAATGTATGTATGTATGTATGTATGTATGTATGTATGTATGTATGTATGTATGTATGTATGTATGTATGTATGTATGTATGTATGTATGTATGTATGTATGTATTGTAATGTATGTAATGTATGTAATGTATGTATGTATGTATGTATGTATGTATGTATGTATGTATGTATGTATGTATGTAATGTAATGTATATATGTATGTATGTATGTATGTATGTATGTATGTATGTATGTATGTATGTATGTATGTATGTATGTATGTATGTATGTATGTATGTATTAATGTATGTAATGTATGTATGTATGTATGTATGTATGTATGTATGTATGTAATGTATGTATGTATGTATGTATGTATGTATGTAATGTATGTATGTATGTATGTATGTATGTATGTATGTATGTATGTATGTATGTATGTATGTATGTATGTATGTATGTATGTATACATGTATACATGTATACATGTATATATATGTATATGGTTGCTTGTCAATTTGGAATATCCGTGGCCAAATGACCATGGACAACTAAGCAACTGTCCCTGGGAAAGTCGTTCTTTTGTCATGGCATGTAAAGGACCTCTTAGGAGTTAGGTCTGAACCTTGATTTCGCTGGTTTATGTTAGTGTTTTGTCGTGTCCCTTTTAATGACGGCCAAAAGGGGTGAGCAGTTTTGAGAAGCTCCCATATGTCTGAAATGGCATAGACCCGCACATACAATTTGACAAACACCCATGTATATATTATATTCCACACACTCCATGTTGGTCATATTTACTAGCGTTCAATTGTGGGCCTCTCAGAGCAACATTCGGTATGTAGGCACCTTGTGGCAACATTGGGCTTATCGGAATCTATGACTTTGTCGGATGGCGTGATTAGGCGTGATCTGGCGTGATTTGGCGTGATTGCCGGACTGAATGCATGCTATTTTTGGCATACATTTGGGCCGAATGTATGCCACATTTGGGATACATTCATGTATTACCGTGATTTGGCGTGATTTGCTGCAGGAGAATTGTCGAACATGATTTGTCGAGCCAACATTTTGGATGTATGCCTCTCAGAGCAACATTGGCCTTATACACCCCAATGTTCCTTCTCAGGCCAACGTTCGCGAATGTCGGCAAATAGCAGCAACATTGGAGTGTCTATACATTATGTTATATATTTATTATATATGCTATATGTATATATATATATATGTTATATATGGTACCCCCCGCCCCACGAACCATGGTTTGGAGCTTGAGCTGCGTTTTGTCCAGTGTTTTGTGCCTGTTTTGCCTCGGTTGATTTTGTGGCAACATGGGGCGGGGGGTGCCATATGTCTATGTACATATATACATACATATATGATGTAGGCAAAGATATCAACATCTGCCATCTAACAGAGTCTGCATCCATCTCAGAGTGTTGGGACAACGCTGGAATTTGTCAAAAAACGTCTGGGATTCAAGATTCAAGATTCACGAATCTGAGAAAATTATTTTTGGGAACCTTGAATCTTGAATCCCATCATATCCCATCATTTTGTAAGAAAACTAAGAACTCCAGTGTTGTCCCAATACTCCAGGTGTGCAATACAGATTTCTGCAACCAAGTATGCGAACCCATTTGCAGTGATATGGATTTAATCTGCAACCCCCAAGTTCCCGCAATATTTGGATTCAAAGTGAGAGGACCAGATTCTCGGAAAAGCTTTCTGTGAAAGAGTTCAATCTCGAATCTGCAATCCAGTGGTAAAATACGTTCGAGGTTTTAAGAACAACTTGAACGTTTTTTTTGGGGGGTTGGCCAGGATGGATGATTCTCAGAAAAGTTGCTGTCTGTGCAATCATCGATGTTGAATTCTCAATCCAGCGGTAAAGCACTGTCAAGAAGAACTTTAATGTTGTTTGGGTTTGGCCAGGAATGACGATTCTCAGGAAAGTTGTTTGTGTAATCTTCAATATTGAATCGTCCCTCCAGTGGTGAAATACTCTCAAGTGCTTGGCGATCCAGTGGAAAACACTTTCAAGTATTTAGTTAGTGAATCTTTCAAGTGCTTTTGGTGAGCGGTTTGCTTCATGTAAGCTATGCTCATGTTGTCCCTTTTCCAGGAGGTAAAGGTAGGTGTATCCAGCTGAAGTAACACCCTTTTTGGACATTTTCGAGGACTCCGGGCTTCAAATTAGGCGGCTTTGAAAAACCGACATTTGTCAACTTCGAGAATTTAAATCTCTAGGTTCTAGGTTTATCATCAAAAGCCACTAAAACCAGGGTCCATGGCGGGGGCGGGGGGGGCGGGGGTAGCATATATATATATATACACATATGTATATACATAGGTATATATATATATACACATACGTATGGGGCTCATTACGACAGGTTCCAGGATCATCAGGTGATTTGGTTCAATAGGAACCGGCCCCATTCGGGAAACACGGCTCTCATAGGTTTTTTGGGTGGACTTTGTCTGAAATCCCTGAAACTGGAGTGGTTTCCCTTTAACCTGCCAAGTGGTCGAAGATCTGACGTTACAATCATGGCAGGATTCGAGAGCACCAACCATCGGCTTTTGCCTCATATGTTCAAGAGCTCAAGAGCCAACCGATCCGGAGGTAAAACAATCGGTTTCAGACTCAGAGATCTCGAAGACGCAGGAACACCAAGAAGTGGAGTTTCTTGCGCCCAAGAAAGGTTGGTCCTTGAGGTGATTTCGGGACACCGGTCGAAAACGTCAGAACTCATGGCAGTTGCAATTCCTGCCATGAGTGTTTGTTTCTGATTTGCCTTCCAAAGTGGCAGGACAAAAACTCCACTGGAACAAAATGCCCAAAGGGTCAATCAGACATCAGCTCCTACCCCAAGCTATTTTCAATCTGCTTAGCGGTGGTTGTGATGATTCCAGTTGTTGTACATGTCCAGTAGTGCAAGTGACCTAAGGCACTCCGGACTCCGCAGAAGAGTCCAAGGTACTCTTCCAGGGCAAGTGGCAGCCCGGCAGATTGCATTGCTGCTGAACAACACACATCTCTGGGATGTCATGGATGTAGACACATGCATCCTCGGATTTCCCTCACCTTATGCCAAAAAAAACCACCACAACTGGACATCCCGACGGTCCTGCAATCCATGCAGGCATCCAGTGCCATTGGCGCTGAATGGATCCTGTAACTCAAGTTGTCGTTTTTTATGATAGGAAACTGACAGGTGTTGGCAATTTGGTGGTTTTTCTCCGACCCTATTTGGCACCCAGGGGTGGTTCTTCCATGTTTGGGATTTAATGGGTTCTCGATTTCCACCCCCCCCCCCCCCCGGTTGTACCCAGGAAAGACTTGCTTGAGCAGAAGCCTTTGCTGGAGCTGATCGGACAGGACGCCCAGGGCTGGAGTTGCTGGGTGAGATGACACCAGTTCACTGGTTTGCTTCCGTTTTTGCGGGGTAAAGTCAGGAACTGGTTGGTAATGTTCCTTTAACTTGCCACTTGGGTGACTTTCGTGGCAAGCTGATGTGGCCATTTTTCATGCAAGCCAACCAAAAGTCTAGGAGTTGATTCCCCATTCTTTTCAACCATCGTTCATTTCAACCACCGATCGCTGTTTAGCAGGATTTTTGGAGCTGGACAGATTCGGATCCCTGGGTTCAGAATGGGCAAGCTACTCCCTGAGTTTCCTGGGCCTTTGCTGGGTGTGGACCGTGGCGAGCAAACAGTTCGCTTACCCTCCACACCATGGAAAGCACTCAGAAATGGTTCAAGGAAAGCGTTCCACGCCACCCCGAAACATCGGGCAACCGCATGGCAATGTGGAAAGGGCGCCCAGAAAACGGGTGGTTTCCCTTTGGTTTCGCTTCAAACAAAACCGCAAAGGGACATTTCCCTGACACACGTGAAGCAGGCCTTGGGGTCGCATGGTTTTTGCAGGCTGATGTGGAGGTCTCCGATACCCCAGACGTCGAGGAACGCGAGAAGATCTCGCCGCACGGTTGGGTTTGTTTGCCTGGCTTTCGTCGGCGCATGGGACTCTTTGGGTTCCATTGGCTGAACTTGGCGGTTCCAAGCCGTCCGGTTCATTGTTTTGTTTTTTGTGTTTTTTGTGTTTTTTTTTTTTTTGGGGGGGGGGGGGGGGGGGGGGGGGGGGTTTTCGATTTAATGATCCGATGACAGCCAGTGAAGAATATTTGTCTAAGTTTCCCCTGTTGGTTTCAATTCCAAAGGGAGTCTATCACTGAACATATATTTACTCTTCCAGGGCCGGGTGGAAGAAGCAAATAGAGGTTTAGGTTCCCTTGAAAGCAACCTCAAAGAGGGGCCCGTGATGATTGCCCACAGAGTGTCAACCTCTTTGCAGTTACTCCTGTTAGGCTTCCCTTTGGGTGATTTGAAGCCCTGATTCTCGTAAAGGCCGGATATGAAACCACTCCAAACCACCCAACCCGAACCACCAAATACGGGGGAGTCTGACCTATGGGGCCCGCAGTTGAAAGCGCGCGGTTGGGACAATCTCAAGGTGTACGGCGCTTGCGTGATGGCAAAACTGGTAGGGTCCCCCCCCCCCCACTTTAGTGCGAGTGTCTCTGAGATACCATATTTAAATGGCAGCCAGGATTCTATATCGCTGGGCATTGCGATGTTTGTTATTCCGGGCTCCTGGATGGTGCATGCGTTTTGCTTAAGACATCACAAAGGCCGGAGATCATGCAG